TCTATTGATGGGCCCTTAGGTTGATTCCATATTTTGGCTATTGTGAATAATATTGCAATGAGCGTGGATGTATGATCTCTTTCCTTGATATTCCAATTTCTTTTCCTTTGGATATACCCAGTGTAGGCATGGCTGGGTTATATGGTAGCTCTATATTTCACTTTTTGAGGAACTTCCACACTATTTTCCATAATGGCTATACTTTTTTTTGGCACATGTATGTGTTTTAATGAGGATGTTCTATGTGAAGTTTTTAGGGTTGTCTTTGTATTTTGTCTTCAATTCTGTCAGAGATCAGTTCATTTTATCACTCAGACTATTGCTAGTGTTGTTGGTTAGGCAGGAGTTATACATGCCTGAGGGCTAGTGGGGAACCTATACTAATAAATAACATCAGTGCAGTGTGGCAAGTGCCACATTGTGGCAAGGTGCCATGGTCCTCGCAGTTTCACACCTGCTACATTGTCATTTGTTCAAGAACCTTTCTGAGGGCCCCATTGCCACTAGCATAAGGCCAATTTCATAGCAATCTGGCCCCCACCTACTCTAACTTCACTGATTTCCTCAAAGCACTTTTTGCATAAGTTCCATTCCCAGTGTTCAAAGGCCTCTTTCTGTCTTTTCTACTACCTTCAAATTACTCTTGTCCTTCAAGGATTTTGTGTTAGAAGAAACACTCAGAGAGGACGCTAAGCCTTCTACCAGCCATGAAGAAATCCTCACCATTTGCTGCCTGATGCGGGCTTGGTGCTTAGACATCCCATCTTTGATGCAGTTACTTAACTTTCTGCATTTCCAGGTCCTATAACCTGAGACACAATGTGCTGAGGTCAAGGTGTACTCAGTCCTCCACATGTTCCTCCTCCCTGTCCCCCAACACAGGCATGTGTATGTACATGTACATAATTCTCTAATGCACAAATCAATAAGGTAGACTTGGGCTCTAATTTCCAACTGGACTTGGACATGAATGTACTGTGAAGCGACCCACAGTATTTAACAGCAAAAGGATAGAGCTCAGCCCAACAACTCTGTGCCCACACATGAGTAGATATTCTTATGTAATGCATGGTCACAAGCCTGTGGCCTTGGAGATGACTTTGTGGCAGCAACATCCAATGGAATCTTCTTGCAATTGCAGCATAGGCAGCTTTTTGGGTAGCAAGATATCTCCCTGAAGAAATGTGACAGGTCAGGCTGACATTAGATCCTTTTAAAAGATGTTCAGCCAGACTTTGAAGAGGAGGTCTCCTTTCATTTTTTCTCCTGTTGTCATGGCACTGCCCAAAGCTCCTTTGCTTGCTGGTTTTTGTACAGGATTCGTGTGCTCTGTGTTCTGATTCGCCCTGGCCTCTCCGCCCAGCTGGCTGCACAAGGCCAGCTCTGTGTGCCCCCTCCATGCTGTCTCCCAGCTTCCACTTTCACGCCGTGAGGCCGAGAGCTGGGACTTGTAGGACTGACGGTCACACCCTTTCTGCCCCTTGCTTTCCTACCACGTTGGCTGGAACGAGTGGCAGGCGCAGAGTGACTTTGCTCCCCGGCATGAGCACAGCTGCCAAAGCTGCTCTCACTACAACACACTCCTCATTTTTTTCCCTAATGAAGTAAGTATATTGAACAAAACAAAACAAAAGAAACAGGCTTCTGCCTGCACGTCCCCACCTTCAAGGTCCAGGCCAGACACTCAGCCATACCCAGTAAATGACCAAGCTCAGTCAGCGTGACTTGCTTGTTCAGCACCAGCATTAAGTGCATGCTCCCTTCTGCCAGAGGCTCTTCACGTTGTCCAAAGATGCAGCCCAGACCTTGGAGCTCGCCCTGGTTGGCACCTCATGATCGTCCCTCCATGCCCCCGTCTTCTCTTCACCGCCAGGCCAAGAGAAGTCAGGTTGGGCCAGCTTATGTCACAGTGTGTCAGCCAGCTTTCCATCCCTGAGACAAAATACCCAAGAGAATCAGGATGAAAGTTGACCTGGGCTCACTGTGGCTTCGGTCTGTGGTGGCTTGGCCCAGTGGGTTCTGGGTCTGTAGTGCTGCAGTCTAGGAGCATGCGGCAGAGAAATACCTCCTGGTAGCCAGGAAGCTGAGAGGAAGAGAGGGAGGGCAATGACCCACTCCCTCCAGTAGGTGCCATGTCCTCAAGTTGCCACCACTCCCAACAGTGCCACCAGCTGAGAGCATAGCCTCCACCCCATGGGCCTTCGGGAGACACCGAAGGCCAAGTCCAAACACAGGTCTTCTGCTGCGCCCCTCTTCTGGTCCCTGGCTCCTCTTCCTGGCACTGTTTGCTTGGGAAGCGTTTGATTGTCTTCTCTTGTTTGCATCTCTAGATCACCAGTGTTCTTGTGCTCTGTGCTTGGTGCCTCACAAGAGACAAAGCCTCGTCTAAGAACAGGCTCCGTTGCTCTTTCTTCCTTGTCTGAACTGTTTGATCACATTTATCCTGAGAGTCACAGGAACAGAATAGGCGTGACTCACCTGGGGCACAGGAAGCCTCCGGCAGTGACTACAAAGGACGTGTGTGTGAGATGAGCGTGTGTGTGCACAGCATGAGCAGTTCCCTGAGATGGCCCCTAGTCTATTTAGACTCTGTTTCCAGCACTTTCCTCTTATTGCTGGGACAAAATACCCGACACCCAAAATTAAAGAAGGATGTTCAACAAGCCTTGTGTAGCTAGGGACAGTTTCATAGATTGGAAGATTCCCTACTCCAGGACTGCAGCACTGTCACATAGGTGTGGGGACATCAATAGGAGGGGACCTGAGCTCTCTGTGTCACACTTACAACAATGTGGAGTTGTTTACTTTGACACTAGCAGCGAGACTGGCTCACAGTGGAGATTTCAGTCCACACTTGGCTGGCTCCAAGGCAGAGCAGCACATGGCAGAGGGCAGCAGTTCACAGAATTGGCAAACAGTAAGAGCAAAAGGGAGGAGCAGTGACTGCGGCAGCTAGCAAGCCTCTCTCCCTTCCTTCTATTGCATTCAGGCTCTCATCCATCCCAGGGGTGGGCGTGTAGCAGTGACACCCATAATCCCAGCATTGGATCATGAATTAATCACAAACTCTACAAGCCTGCCCCAGTGACTGCATGAGGCTTTGGGGAAGGGGGACAACTGGACACAAACCACAACATCCTCCAACATGGTCCTTCTCCCCCTCCTTTATTTACAGCCCACCACGCTGGAGGGAACCCTTGGAGCAGAACCTTTACACTTTATACCTGGGCTGCTCCAGGTGTGGTTCACACTACACTTAGATTGCTCTGGGTGTGGCTCTGAGAATTCTTTCTTCTTTACAAAGTGATTTCTGCAGCTTCAGCCAGGGAGGAGGGTAAGGGGGCTGGATGGGCCTGGAGCACTGATTCAACCCTGGGCTCGGCATCGGGTCCTGCAGGTGAAGCGATTTCATCCTCTGGGTGTGCTGCGTGGATCAAGAGGCAGTCACCCACTTCCCTTGGCCAAGGTCACAGCAAAGGTCACTGCAGAAATGCACACACGCAAGGCACAGTTATAAGGTTTTCACCTGTAGTATCTTGCAACCCTCACGACAGTGCTATGAAGTCAGTACAGTATTAATGGCTGTACATTCTCAGGTGAGGAAACCTGGCTGCTCGAAGTCTCACATCCAAGCAGCAGTGGAGTTTAGAGCTGACTTCCACATAGGTTGCCCGTCCGAGTTCGTTGTTCTTCATCAAGTGTGAAGTCCTTTGCCTGGCTCCGTGCAGGTCTTGGAACAGGCTGCAGACCTCAGCCGTGGTACACAGGCCCGAGCTGCTGCAGGCTCACCCCAGTTCTGCCTGCTCTGCTCACCTGAGAGTGGCAGCTCCTTGGGGCTGGGTGCGCAGACCCCGATCTCCCTCTGCTCATCATTTTCTTGTCCACTCCATGCCTTGGTTGCTGCTGATGGTGACTCTGAGCTCTGTGGGGAGCTTTCTGCTGAGCTCTCCCCCAGGGGCCGCCTCTCCCTCTCTGCATTGCCCAACCCACAGGCTCCCAGGACCCACTCCACCACTGAGCTGCAAACCTGGGAGTCTCGCTCACCTTCTCTGTCCTTTCCCCCCAGGCAGGACATCACAAGTCTCTAACCTCACCCCAAAAGAGTCCTGACACCCATCCCTCCTCTCCATCCAAATGTTTCTACCTAAGTGCAGCCCTGTGTCCCTGTGCGGATGAGAGCCCACTGCCGGAATCCCTTTTCTCAGCTCGTCCTTCACGGAGTCCACCCACATCCTTTCCTCCTCCGCGGTACCTGCTGAGCCTGCCAGGCAGGCACTACTTGGAAGTTTTGCATGTTCTGCCTCTTCTCTGCAATCGCCCGAGAAGTTGCAGAGACAGCATAGCTGGCACGTCAGTGCTGGGTGCAAGCCCTGGCCAGCCTGCCTTCGGTGTGCATGCTTCCACCTCTGCGCTATGCAGTATGGGCCAGGGGCCAACCCCCGGCCGTGTGATGGGGCTTGCTCCTGCTTCTGCAGGCCCACGGCTCAGCAGTCCCTGCGCGGTCTTCCATCCCAGCACTGCACTGTGTTCTCTGCATGCGCCAGGTGGTTTCCTGGCCCTGTTCCTTCTGTGCGGAATGCTTGTCCCACCTCACCTCCCCACACTGTCCCTTGAGGCTGAGCCAGCCCCTGTATTGGTGCAGTGGTGACTGTCTTGGGCTGGACCAGCTGCTGCTCCTCAGAACCCACTGGATCCTATGTGTATGTTGCTCTCATTCTACTCATGGGTTGCCTGCAGGAGCCCTTCTGGCTCAGTGCCAATCTGTTCATCCTCAGCACCTAGCTCCTGACCCAAGGAATACCCACAATAGTTGCCTTCACCTGCTTTCTATAAGCCCCTTCTCTCTATGTCTCCTCCCCTCTTGATATAAGCACCCTCCGAGCAGCTATTGTGTTGTTTAGCTGGCTTTGGTAGCACCTGCTGGGCCCCAGTGCAGTGGACCCTCAGGATTGTGTGCAGACAGAGGACGAGGAATGTTATGTCCTTTGCTCTGACTACAGTTGCAAGTTTCCCAGAATCGTAGGGCGGTACTGTGACCACTGTACTGCTGGGTACTACATGTTCCCCGAGTGCTGGCCCTGCAGCTGCAACCACGCTGGGACTGAGCCGGAAGTGTGTGACAAGAAAACTGAGGCTTGCTTCTGTAAGGTAAGACAGATGATGCCATGCGGGAGCCACCACTACCAGCCCTGGAGAAATTCTTTGTGTTGAGTCAGTGACTGAAAGTGTGGGCAGTAGGACTGACCCAGAGATTTCCATCCTGCATGGAGCATTGCACGGTCATTCTTGCACTTCACAGAAATAGAGGGGAAACCTCTCTCACCCTCTGGATGGGCCACACACCCCTGAATGGTCCGATCTGTCACCAGAAAAATCAATTACAAATGCTCCACTACAATGTCAAGAGGTTCATAGGGTCCCTAAAGCCCATCCTTGGCCCTGCACCCCCAGTTTTCCTCTTTGCTCCAAGAGGTTCTGCCACATATAAGTGTCCATGCCCAGCAGACATTTCCAGGTGGTGCTGGGTGGGGGGAGTTGGTCTCCCCTCTTTATGAATTCTTTTAGCGCTCCTTGTCTACCTTGATGACACCAACTTTTAATATTTGGTGAGCATTCCTGCTGGGCCATTTTGTGTTGTTGTCTAGTTGGTACAAACATCTACCTGCAGCCAGGGAACTTTTAGAAGGAATGATGCCTCCTTCATGTTTTGATTCAACAGGAAAACGTGGAAGGTGCCCAGTGTGACAAGTGTCAAGAAGGGACGTTCAATTTAGATGCAGCCAATCCCAAGGGCTGTACTGATTGCTTCTGTTTTGGAGTGACTCATCTTTGTACCAAGACCAAGAAAGTACACAAGAAGGTATGTGCGGAGTTAGTGTCTAAAGGGGTTGGTCTGTCCAGTTTGAGTGCAGAAGGAAGCCAATTGGCACAAAATGTCAAGGGATGTTTTGTGTATTGAGGGGTCAAGATAACCAGTGTTGCCCTTCCTGTTCCCCAGTCTGCAGCATTTTCTCCATCAATGTCCTCATGATTGTTTCTTGACTAGCCAGGTCTCTGATGGAATGTTACTTGCTGCAGGGACCTCTCTTCAGGACTCCTTATAAAATATCTCACACCACTGACTCCACGCCCTTCCCCTTGTTTTCTCCATGACATCTATCACTCCGTGACATGTTGTATGTTTCATTTTAAAAGTTTATTTGTCCTCCTCCACCACTAGAATGTTGAGCTCCTTGACACACAGAGACTAGAATAGGACTTGGGATGTGATAGATGTCCCTTAAGTACTTTTTAAATGAATAGAGATTCTTACTGTGTTATACAACTCTGTTACCATAATAAAATACCTGAAGCGATCAAATTGTGAAGAGGAAATGTTTAGCTGGCTCATTTGGAGGTACCAGGCTAGAGTTGGGTGGGTCTGTACCTCAGGGGTTTGTCCTGATGGGGATGTATGATAGAGGAAGGGCGCTCATTTCACTGTGATAGCTGGGATTAGAACAGGTGGAGAGGAAAGGGCCGGGGCCCCAGGGTGCCCCCAAGGGTGCTCTCATGGCACAGTCCTGGTAACCCGATTTCTTCCCAGTGGGGTCCATCTCTTAGTGGCTCCACACATCCCAGTAGTGATAAGCTGCAGTTGGGTCTAACACACGGGCCTTGTGGGCACATTGAGGTCAAAATGAGAGCAGCTGTTTTTCTCCTTCAAAGAAAACTCTGTTTCTGTCTTCACCACATGTCTGATACCAAATGTTTAGGATGTTTCCTACCAAGAAACTCGCCTGTCTCCTCTTCAAAAGTCTTGGACTTTGGTGCTGACCAGATTCCACTTAGAGGTAGTATCAGATCCACAGGCCCCTCAGGACTCTCCTGCTTCAGTGTGACTACAAATCAGGAGTTCCCACCAGTCCCTCTTCAGGGTTGAAACTTCACTGTACTGCCTAATGGTACTCAGAAGTATTTTATTTGGCATTACCAGTTT